CCCCGGTCCAGGAAGATCCCACGTGCCGCGGAGCGGCTGGGCCCATGAGCCATGGCCGCTAGGCCTGCGCGTCCGGAGCCTGTGCTCCGCAATGGGAGAGGCCACAACGGTGAGAGGCCCGCGTGCAGCAAAAAAAAAAAAAAAAAATTTACTTTCCTTCCTCTCCTCCCTCCCAATCTAAACACCACTGCAAAGGCAACGAATGTGTACCTTTCTTACTCCTGTTGCTTAGCACAGTAAAGGTACTTATTAAATATTGATCAAATAAATATATTACTCATATGACCACTACATGAGCCATTCTGAAGAACTTAAATAATAGTTTGTACCTTTTGGTTACTCAGAAAACTTCCAATGAGCACTATTAGATTATGGCTCCTATTACACTTCTCATGACACTAATGCCACTTCATTTTTGAGCAAAGGGTACCAATGAGAATCCTTTAGCTCTAGCACCTAAAGCAGTGATTCTCAACCCTGTCTGCACATTAGAATCATCTAAAGAGCTTTAAAAAAAAAATACTAATGCCTAGGTCTTGTCCTCTGAAATCCCTATACAGTTGCCTGGGACATTTTTTTTTAATCTTAAACTTATCTTAGGATGAGATCCATTGATGTTAAAGCAAGGTAAACATATTCCTGATATCCTAAATTAAAACAAGAAGTTTTTAAGTGTAGACTTGAACCTAAAAATTACATAATACTACTTCTACTTGAAAATGTTTAAAATTCCAGACATCTAAAACAAAAATGAATTTTAGAATATAGTTAAAGTCTGTGAAGAAAAAAAATAACACTGGATGTCAATTACAATGGTCAAAATAAAGAATCCACAGGAATTAATCATTGTTCAGTGCCCAGGGAGAGATAAATGCAGGCAATGATACTTTAAAAAAAGCCAAGAAAATTTAAATATAATCTTGAGAGAGTGCTTAAATGTGGATGAACAACAGTCAATGGTAGAATCCAAGAACACAGAAAGGAATTGGGGAAGATAAAACGTCCATGAGAAAGATACAAACGACCAGGGCAGAAGACTGGCATTGCAAAGGAGTGGGAAATGAGCCTGCATAGGTATTCAACAAGCTTTCATTTCCTCCCCTGAAGTAGATTTTATCCCTCCCATTCCAGAAAAATAACCACAGAGGCTCTGAAAAGCTCAAATCTCAGAGGTATACGGAGCCTGGAATCAGACTCAGGCCTGTATGACTTTAAAAACCAAGCCCTTTCCACCATATCACCTTGCTTCACAAAGGAAACAGGCAAGGACAGAGAAAACAAAATTCAAGGGCATTAAATGGCACAACAAAGCAAAAAAACAGGGACCTGCCTGGTGGCGCAGTGGTTAAGAATCTGCCTGCCAATGCAGGAGACATGGGTTCGAGCCCTGGTCAAAGAAGATCCTACATGCTGCGGCGCAACTAAGCCCGTGTGCCACAACTACTGAGCTTGCATGCTGCAACTACTGAAACCCATGTGCCTAAAGCCCGTGCTCTGCAACAAGAGAAGCCACCACAATGAGAAGCCCGTGCACCACAACGAAGAGTAGCCCCCGTTCACTGCAACTAGAGAAAGCCCACGCAACAACGAAGACCCAACGCAGCCAAAAATAAATAAGTTTAAAAAAAATATACATGTCAACTAAATACTTAAGAAAAAAATGCGAAAAACTAGAGGAGGAGCTCCCTGTAGGCTTTTAAACCTAGAAATAAGGTGAGGGGAAAAATGTCATTCCAAATGACATTAACCTGGCAGTATACAGGAAGGACTGAAGGTGAAGAGGCTAGAGGAAAGGAGATTGCTGATTGCTTCATAATGAACAATAGAACTTAGTACTATTAAAGTACTGCATTCTTTAGTAGTTTCACAAGTTACTTGACTTTTCAAGTAACTTTGAAAAGTTACTTGCTTTAAGGAAACTTCTTTTATGTAAGTATTAAATACTTAGTAGTAGATTATTGTTCATCATAACTGATCAAGTAACAGAAATTACTCAAATAGGCAAAGTTTGTGTGTAATATTTTCAAATCTACATCTCATTTCACATCTGGATGGAGTTTACAGTCTTTAGTAGTCAGCCTCCTTCCAGTCTTTTACCCTCCATTTCACCCTTAAAAAAGGATACTGAAGGCTTCCCTGGTGGCACAGTGGTTGAGAGTCCGCCTGCTGATGCAGAGGACATGGGTTCGTGCCCCAGCCCAGGAAGATCCCACATGCCGCGGAGCAGCTAGGCCCGTGAGCCATGGCCGCTGAGCCTGCATGTCCGGAGCCTGTGCTCCGCAACGGGAGAGGCCACAACAGTGAGAGGCCCGCGTACCGCAAAAAAAAAGGATACTCAAATTAACTTTGCTAATATGTCATTCATATTTCAAGTTTCCCAGATCAAGAACCCAAACAGTTTCTTATTAATTAACTGTAACAAATCCAAACATCTCTGCCCTTTACATGCCCCCTTCTACCATCTCACCTAAACTTCTGTTCTCTCGGAAAGGATCATTCGTGCCTTCCTCCTCACTGGGTCACAAAGTAACAAACACTACCCTGGAATTGTCCTATTTCCCAAACGGCAATACCTCTTTCCGTTCTCTCACTCAACTTCCAAACATCCAAAGAGGCCCAGTTCAAAATCTATTATTCTCCAGAAAGCCCATTTCTGAACCCTACAACACTTACAAAAGATTCCATACCAATGGCTGCGAAGCCCACGTGTGACTTATGTTTGGCCCAAGTTTCTTTTTTTTTTTTTGCGGTACGCGGGCCTCTCACCATTGTGGCCTCTCCCGTTGCGGAGCACAGGCTCCGGACGCGCAGGCTCAGCGGCCATGGCTCACGGGCCCAGCCGCTCCACGGCATGTAGGATCTTCCCAGACCGGAGCACGAACCTGTGTCCCCTGCATCGGCAGGCGGACTCTCAACCAATGCGCCACCAGGGAAGGCCCAGGTTTCTTTTTTTTCAATAAAACTTTAGTCCATTGACCACACTTAAAAACTGGAAGAAAACCCTTTAAGAAACTATATTTCCAACTTTCCTTGAAAAGGCTGGACACTCTGGCAACGCTGGGATCACACAGTCACACAGCCACAATCAGCTGTAGCTGAGTAGTAGCTGACGTCTTTTGAAAGATTTTTACATTTTGTTTGTTTGTTTTTGTTTGTTTGTTTTGCGGTACGCGGGCCTCTCACTGTTGTGGCTTCTCCCGTTGCGGAGCACAGGCTCCGGACGCGCAGGCTCAGCGGCCATGGCTCACGGGCCCAGCCGCTGCGCGGCATGTGGGATCTTCCTGGACCGGGGCACGAACCCGCATCCCCTGCATCGGCAGGCGGACTCTCAACCACTGCACCACCAGGGAAGCCCAGACTTTTACATTTTAAAGTCAGGAGATGACATCAACCGCCTGACTTCTGAGACTGTATCTGCAGCAACTGCAATGATTCAAGAAATACTTGACTGCCTATTAGGCACTGGAGTTACAAAAGTAAACAAGACAAACACAGTCCCTCCCCAAAAGCCTAGCTTAGTAGCACAGACAAAGAGATAAGCAATCAGGATACATCCTGTAAGTGCTACTAAAAGGGAAGTAGAGGGCACTTAGCACACAGCAAGGGTACCTAATTCTGTCTATGGGAAGTCAGGGAACACCCCCTCAGAGAAACTGACTAAACTGAGATCTTTAGCAGGTATAGGAATTATCCAGAAAAAGGTAGGGTAGGGATCAGGAAAATCAAAGAACTTTTGCAAAGACGATGCCTGAAGAAAAAAGCATGAAGAAAGTGAAATCAGTTCCATATGGCTAGAGCCATGACCCACCCACAAACGCAGGTGTCAAAAGAAAGGGCTCAATTGAAAGGGCTGGAGGGAAAAAACAAATGTTAGTTAGGGTCAGGAGACATAAGAAAATTTCCATAAAGAGGCTGAAAAAGTAAAAGTTTGTTAAGCAAGGAAGAAAGGTTTCAGAGAGCACAGTTGTTGTGTTGACGGGTGAAATGTGGAAGAAAAGTAGGGAGAAGCAGTGAAAGCCTAAATCAAGGCAGAGGGAGCCAGCACAAAGCAGCACGGGGATGGGGGTGTAGCATAGAAGACCAAAGGGGCTTACATCTTGGACGGTAACCAAGGATAACAGGGATGTGAAGCATGGCAGTTTTGGCTGGCCACAAGTTTGCCAAGAGAATTAGTCCCACTGGTCCCCTGGTGGACGCGGAGGCATTCGGGCCTCTCAAAATTCTGCTGCGCCCTGGCTGGACTGCACTTCCGTCTCTCTAGAAGACATCAGCTTCAGTCTGGATTGATTGTGCAGGCTCCAGGAGAGGCTCTGAGCTCCAGGCTGCTGGCACGCAGGCTCCCAGGGAGTGATTAGAGGCCTGGTCTGTGTGTGCTGGTGGGTAGAAGTTAAGTATACACTACCTTGCATTATTTTCTGTTTTTTCTGTCGGAACGATGGGCCTGTTTACAGCCACTTGGGGAAAAAGCAGTGTGTGCCCATTACAGATTTACAGGAAGAAAAAAGGTGCCAAGAAAGTTAACATGTGTCCATACCAATATTCAGGATGAGTCATTCTGTGAATCCGAGTCTCCCCAGGTTGACCTTGTCTCCCCAACGAGACTGAGATATCCTCCAGAAAAGGGCCGCTTTACACTTTTTTGTACCTCCCGAAGCGCCTATAACCGAACTGGGTACGTCGAACACATTCAGTAAATTTACCGACTTACTAACTGACCTCGGCTCATTGAAGTCACCTAGTTCAGTCCTCTTTTTGCATATTACGATGCTAAAGAGAAGCGAACCTGTATCACAGACTCAACACTTTCCTTTATTCCAAACTCCGCTGCGTCTCTCCACCCTCAACCGCAGGAGCAGAATCGTTGCACGATTCAAATGCAGCGGGAGACTCCAGGTTCCGCCGCGGAAAGGCCTGCCCGCCCGCGCACTCCCCTCTCCCCGGTGTAGCAGCCCGTGCCCGTCCCCGTCCACCTCTCGGAAAGGTAAAACGCGCTCACCGACTCTGGGCCGCCGGGAGACCCCGTAAACGTAGTCGTCCACTCGTCGCAGCGCTCCCAGGGAGGCACTTCCGGCGCGCGCAAAAACGTCGACAAAAGCGCCCGCCCCTAGACCCGCCTCCGGGGCTTGGGTCAAAGGACAACCTGGAAGAGGCACTGCTGCTAGCCTCTTGATGCCGGCTCCTGACCCCTCCCAGGACCCGTGATGCCAAGGCAGCTGCAAGGGGCGACGGACAGTCGGGGTTGAGCCCCGAGTGAGCAGAGGGCACGCGCTCTTCTAGTCTCCCGGGCCTGCCCCATCTGAAGGTAAACGCCTACCCAGCTGCGGCCTTTCTCCCTGCGGGCTCCTCCCCAGACCCAGCTGCCGGAAACATTTGCCCCTCTCTCCCGCCACCCTTTTTATTCCAGGACCTTTACTTTTGCCTGCCCTCGCCATTCTCACCAGAACGGCTAACGTGTGAAGCGTTTCAGTTGGAAGCTTTTAAAAAGCGACCTGTCGATGAAGTTGTCCCACAAAACATCCCAAGTATCAAGCGGTTTTCCCATTACATCGCGAACTGGCACGCCTTAGAATCAATATTTTGACATTTGTGATCGTAAATACAACACACACACTTTTTAAATCGAAAATTTGAACTTGGTTGAGTCTGATATAATTTTCAGAGATAATTTGCTGACTTTGCAATATACGGTATGAAAATGAATTACAGATTATATTTGTAAACTGAAAAATACATAAACAGGTCAATACCCTTCAGGGCCCTGAAAACTATTCCAATAATGAAATGTATCATTTCATAACTTAGCAATAATATGCAAAATTAGAGATTTGAAAGAACTTTATTTACATCATCAAAATGTGAGGCTAAAATTTCCTCTTACCACCGCTCCAGAGAAAAATATTAAGACAACCAAAAAGCTACCCAGCCAAATTAGTGAAAATCAACAGCTACGTTTCTTTCTGAGCTCCCAGGCTCTTTCTCACGTGGGTAGGCAGGGTATTAGGTATATGTGAAAGCACTTTCTTGCTCTCAGCCTGAGGGGAGGTTAAGAGTAGCCTCAGAGTTTTTCCTTCATCTGTTTGAAACCCACCTCTCCATTCACGCCATATTCCATCACTGAAAGGGGTTAGTGTAAAGAATCTACTTGAAAGAAGGACCAGAAAACTCTTTTAAGTGGTGTCTGGAGAAAAGGAATTCCTTAATTCACCCAGCTGGAGTCAATGTTCCTGAGTATTACTAAGAAGGAAAGTGTATAAATTTGTCACTTGCCTATAGTATTGGTTTTACTTGGAATGAAGAATACCTGGTTTAAATTGCTTCTGGGTTGGTTTGTTTGTTTTTTAGAAATGAGTGGTGGATTGGCCCCAAGTAAAAGCACAGTGTATGTATCCAACCTGCCCTTTTCCCTGACCAACAATGACTTATACCGGGTAAGTTTTTGTATTAGTATTGTTATCCACTGAATTCTCTATTTGAGATACAAATGTAGCTTAAGCAAACAGTTCTCTTAGGCAAAATTCATAATAAATACATTACAATGCACTTAAATCGTTAATACCAAAGACCTCTATGGTAAACATAAGTAAGTGAAAAAAATTAGACACTTGTAATTTCCAAAGAGAATTCCCAGTGCTTTATAGAGGATAACAAGTTTTATATAAACAAGTAGAAGCCACTACTAGCATAATGATGCTGATTTTTCCTGCTTGTTTGCTTGGCTTTTGAAACTGGTAGTGGGGTGGAGGTTTTGGAGGAAGGGCTGATGGAAGCAAAACAGATCCCTTTCCTAATCCTCCAATCCTGAAAGTATATCTTAATTTGTATATGTGGCAAAAACTTAACAGTTTAATAAACTTTGTTTTCAGTTCAGGATAGGGGTGATTGGAGGAGGAAAAAATCCCTTCCAACATCTTCTTTCACCTTGTTACCTTACAGAGAACAAAATTTCCTTCTGTGCCTGTCCTGCAGATGGGTGGTTGAGAGGGACTGGAAGGAATGACATGAGTCCTATCTACAAGTGTGCCCTCTTTTCTCTGCTACTTTGGGTAGATGTTAAGTACAGTAGAGAGATGCTGCATAGGTGATATATAGTACTCGATTAATTAATTAACATAGCTTGAGTCTCGAACAGAGAAGAAAACAAACTTTAGTGTCCTTACTTGTATCCAAATAGAGACATCTCTTTTTATTGAACACTTACTATATGCCAAGGACCACTTACAAGTACTAGGTACACATCAGTGAACAAAAAGATGAAAATCCCTTTTGGCACTCACAATGTAGCAAGATAGAGAAACAATTTGAAATATAAAAAATTTAAATGATGTTATTTGTTAGCTACTAAGTTAATACTAAGGTGTTAGGTGCTAAGGAGAAAAAATAAAGCAGGAAAGGAGGGTTATTAAATGTTGGTGAAATTTTACTTTAGGAAGGTGACTTTCGATTAAGACACAAAGGAAGTAAGAGGCAGCTATGCAGATGTCTAGCGGGGACAAGCATTTCAGGCAGACAGAGTAAATAAAGTGGAGAGAAGAGGAGGGGCAATCAGAGGTAAGCCCATTCAGGGGTGCCTTACAGGGCTTGCATAGATAATGGTAAGGACTCTGAATGAAATGAGAAGCCATTAGAAATGTTATGTAGAAAACTGTCTTTCATACAGATGGCCAATAGGCACATGAAAATATGCTAAACATAGCTAATTATTAGAGAAATACAAATCAGAACTACAATGAGGTACCACCTCACACTGGTCAGAATGACCATCATTAAAAAGTTCACAAGCAATAAATGCTGGAGAGGGTGTGGAGAAAAGGGAACCCTCCTACGTTGTTGGTGGGAATGTAAATTGGTGCAATCACTATGGAGAACAATATGGAGGTTCCTCAAAAAACTAAAAGTAGAGTTGCCATATGATCCTGCAATCCCAGTGCTGGGCATATGTCCAGAAAAAACTATAATTTGAAACGATACATGCACCTCTATGTTCATAGCAGCACTATTCACAATAGCCAAGACATGGAAATAACCTATATGTCCATCAACAGATGAATGGATAAAGAAGATGTGAGACAGATAGATACACACACACACACACACACACACACACACACACACACACACACACAGAGTGGAATACTACTCAGCCATAGAAAAGAATGAAATACTGCCATCTGCAGCAACATGGATGGACCCAGAGATATCATACTAAGTGAAGTAAGTGAGAAAGAGAGACAAATACTGTATGATATCACTTATATATGGAATCTAAAATATGACACAAATGAACTTATCTACAAAATAGAAACAGACTCACAGCCATAGAAAACAGACTTGTGGTTGCCAAGGGGGAGGAGTGGTGGGGAAGGGATGGATTGGGAGTTTGGGATTAGCAGATGCAAACTATTATATACAGAATGGATAAACAACAAGGTCCTACTGTATGGCACAGGGAACTGTACTCAATATTCTGTAATAAACCATAATGGAAAAAAATATGAAAAAGAGTGTGTGTGTGTGTGTGTGTGTGTGTGTGTGTGTGTATATATATATATATGTATATATGTATATGTGTGTATATATACATACACACTTTGCTGTACACCAGAAACTAACACAACATTGTAAATCAACTATACTGCAATAAAGTAAATTTTTTTTAAAAAAGAAAGAAAATGAAAGGCAAACCACAAAAAAAAAAAAAAAAAAAAGAGAGAAAACTGTCTTTTTGGTCTTCAGAATTCAGTATTACTAACACTGCAGTCCAGTTATACTATGTTCCATGGTTACACAACTTATAGAACTCAAGCATTTATTATTACTGATTACATACATTAATGTGTTCTGAAGGACTTTTGTACCAAGCATTATATAATAAATAGGACCGGCTGAAACAGTAGAAGTAGATAAGATTGCTTAGAGTGAAGATGTAGATGTAAAAGTGAAGAAAGGCCCAACTGTAAAGTACCACCAACATATTAGGGTGGGCAGAAGGAGACTGATGGGAATGGATTTATCATTATAGAAGCTTTTCTGTTTTATGCTTCTGACATAGTGATTGCTTGATGGAGTTGGGGGCAGGGGTGTAGGCCAGGAACAGTGATATTCCAGAACATTGATAGCTGAAGCACAAGGTTTCTCTGGAGCTATGGTGGGGTTGATAGTTGTCATGGATATGCCACAGGAACACTCAGCTGTGCAGTGTGTGTGCCTTCAATCTACCACACATGAAGAGTGTTTTTTTTTCTCTGTATGCACTCTTTTGTCAGAAATTTAGGAACTAAGGCAAATACCTGTGACACCAGTAGCCAAAAAAGAGGATTATGCTAGTCATTAAAAAAATATATCTTCTAGGGCTTGCCTTATAGACCAGAGGCTAAAAATTTTCATAAACTACAACAAACAATGTGGTCAGTATATACAGCCTGAAAATTTAATGTTCTTTTATGATTTTAAATTAAATTGCAAATTATTATGTGGTCTTTTGTTTCAGATATTTTCCAAGTATGGCAAAGTTGTAAAGTAAGTATATCAGATTTTGAAACTTCATTTAAAAGTCTATCAGAATTTACTTCTCCATTATTTTCTTAATGGAAGTAGATTTACTATTTTTTATAAAACAGATATTTGATATAAAAAAGAAATAAAAATACTACTGTTAACATTTTATGTATATTTCAGTAATTTTTTAATATACATAAATATCTATAGACAAGTTTTAAAAGACAATTCTATACATGCAATTTTGTTGTCTTTTTTTTAACTTGACATTATATTGTAAATATCTTTCCATGTACTATATAGATACATCCTTGTATTTAATGATTTCATGGTATTCCTTTATACGGCCTAATTTATTTAAATAATATAATTTTGTACCATATTACTAAGAACTAAAACTGATCCTGTTATCCAATATAAGACATAAGTTAAAGGCTCCGATTAAATATATATTTTAGGTACTAGGAGGTGTGTTATCAAGTATACTATAAATGGATTATTATTTGTCAAACAAATAGAATATAAAAACAAACACAGTTGACTCTTGAACAATGCAGGGTTAATGAGAGTGTAAAGTAAAAGCAAGATAGTGTTATTCTATCTTACAACTAATAATATGTTCTGGTATAAATTTAAAGTCGTATTTAAAATCCCAAGAATTTAGAGCATATTTATCTTGCCTAGTTGTTTTTCTTTTAGCTTTGATAAATGGATGTTAAACAGTTGAAGTTCATCTGCATCCTGAGGTTGACTTCTTTTAAACTTACTTCTCTATTAAAAAATAATCAAAAATGCTACTAGTTCTTCAGAATTTCAAACAGTGATCATTATCAATCAGAACACTAATAATGATATGTAACAATGAACACATAAATACGCTATGCACTGTTCTAATATCTTTACATAAATTATCTCATTAAAGTCTCACAACTACCTTTTAAGGTAGCTACTGTTATTATCCTGATATTATAAATGACAAAACTGAAGCACACAGTAAACCTAAAATCATATTGCTGGTTAGCAGTGGAGCCAAGGTTTGAATCCAATAGTTTGATTCCAGCCTATTCCTTTAACCTTTACCTTTTCTTGATTTTTCCCTGTCAGAATCGCTGAATGAATTTCCGTACAAATACATAATTATAAGCCATGAGAATGCTATGAAGTTAGACACAGAGTTATAAGCACTGTAAACAGGGAAGACCTGATCTAGTCTAGAGAGTCCGGGTAGATTTACCTAAGTCATTATCCTTTGAGTTGAAACCTAGAGGCTGAGTAAGAGTTAAGTAGGTTAAAAGAATGGGAGGAACATTTCAGGTAGAGGGACTTGCTTGTGCAAAGGCCCTGTGGCAAGAGAAAATAAAGCGAGATCAAGAAACAGAAAGAAGGCCAGTGTGACTTGAGATGAGTGAGCAAGAGGGAGAAAGCACATGACAGGTCCAGAGATGGAAGCAGTTTCCTCTAAGGACACCAAGAATCCATTAAATAATTTTAAATGAGGGAGTGACATGATTGGAATTTTTAGAAGCTTATTCCATCCAGCTTCAGTGTAGAGACTGGATTGGAAGGGAACAAGAGCAGATGCAGGGAGACCAGTCAAAAGATATAACAATAGCCCAGGGGAGAAATTTGGACTAAGATGATACAGGTAGAGAGGTAAAGACTGGTCAGATTTGAGAGATCATTAGGTAGGAAAATGGGTAATACTTAGTGATATACTTACTTTGTATATAAGGGTTGGGTGAGTGAGAAGGAGGTGTTATGGATGACACCCAGGTTTCCCAGATAGTGTCTGCTTCACTTCATGTGCTTAAATGAGTACATCATCTACCTTATATCAGGAAATGGTACCACTGTCTAGCTTTTTTCCCATCCTAGAGACATGGGAATCATCCTAGGTTTGTCTTTTTAAATCCTTGATGTAATTATTTTTCTGTTACCGTAGAAGGTACCTGTATCAAAGTAATGTATTTTAATTGGTTTATAGGTCTTTCTCCACCTCTAGACTGTAAGCCTTTTCCTGAGGATAAAAACCTGTCCTACTGCCAGTGCTTAGTACCTGTGCTTGAGGCTAATGGAAAGACTGAATGGCCACATGAACAAACAAATGGATGCACGCTTTTGAGAAACTGCTTTCCCATTTGTATCTGTCTTTTTGTTTTAACATAGTGAGGTAGGATTAATAGGGGTTACAGAGACAACCTTAAAGAAGATTTTTACATCAAAATAGGTGAGATGAAAGGAACATTTTATAGATAAAGCTTAGAGAGGTGCCTGGCAAATAATAGAGTAAAAATTCCATCACATGTATCCAAACATAAAGATTTGTTATTACTGCAAAAATAAATTTTTTGAATAGGGGAGATGAGGCATTGTTTATACAGAGATTTCAGTGGAGACAAGCAGAAAAGAAAGGAAAAGAAATTATTTCCAGTTAAGAACTGATACATTCTGAACCCTGAAGAAGGAGTGAAATTTTAATGGGCAAAACATTGAGATTTGAAAGCGGATAGAAGCCACATGAACAGAGGCACCAGTTTAGGGGAAATTCAGGCCATGCTCCATGAACACTGAGTGCCTTCTTGTGGCTAGACCTCATAGTTTGCAAGTGAGGAGCAGTGAAAGATGAGGGAAATGGGAGCCATAATCATGAAGGATATTGATTGCTGGACCAAAGAATAGGCAACTTGAAGAACCAAAGATTTTTGAGCAAAGGAATAAGTGATTTTATTTATTCCTCGAGTAGAAGACTTTTCCACTAGCATATGAGCATAAATTAACACCTAGGGAACCAGTAAGAATAGATTATGGAAACAGTTATGCCACGGTGGACAAGAAAAAAAGCAGTGGGAATGGAAAAGAGAGGACAGATGAAAGAGATCATTAACTGAGTATGACTTAGAAAGCTAACACTTCCAAATAGTACTTTCAAAAAAATGATTTATGACTTTAACTGACCATCACAAACATTATGAAATTTTTAAAAAGTTAAAGTAACTATCTTACTTTATACTTCTTTCAAAATTGGTTAAAAACTTTCCTCTTTATGCTAACTGGTGTGGCTTTGAAGAAAACCAGCCTAAACTTGAGCTGCATCAAGTGCTTGACTTCTCTTCCTTCCTTCTAAGCCCAATGAATAAACAGATGCAGCCTTTTGAGAAAGTAAACCATTTTAGTTGCCCATTTTTCCCTAAATTACTGTAACTTATATTTTTTTAATAAGACATCACTTTTCTTAATATAGTGGCATCTTTTTACCAATTTCATTCCAATGACTCTATAGGTACCTAATACCAAATCCAAATAAAATAAATTTTAATATGTGAAATGTAATACTAAATCAAATTCTGTTTATTTGTTCATTCATGTTCTCTTGTCTATTTTCCTGTTAATTCAGTTTTTAGAAAATCATTAAACTTTGTCTTAGAGCTTTGTCTCTTTTTTTGCTATTTGGAAATAATTTCAAATTTATAAGTTACAAAAATAGTACAAAGAACATCAAAATATCCCTTGCCCAGATTCACTTATTAACATTTTATCCCCATTTACTTTATCATTTGCACTCTCTCCCCAATGTGTGTGCATGTATGGGTGTGTGTGTGTGTGTGTGTGTGTATACACACACACACACCTATATGAGTATGTTTATATATATCTATGTGTATATATACACACAATTTGTTTTTGTGAGTCATTTGAGGCTGTTATAAACATCATCACCTTTTACTCCTAAATACTTCAGTGTGTATTTCCTACAAATACAATAGGGTTATATATTATATAACCACAGTACAGTTACCAAACTCATAAATTTATCCTGATACAGTACTTTTGTTGAATCAGTCATCCGTGTTCCAGTTTTGTCACTTGACCCAATAATGTCCCACATAGAATTTTTTGCCTCTAGTACAGAATCCAGTCTAGAGTTAGGTGTTATTTTAACTGTCCTATCTTTTTAGCCTCCTTTAATCTGGAACATTTATAAATAATATAGCTCTAACCCATCTTTTTTTCTCCTCATTTTGTGGTTTCCTGATGTTGCCTCATGATTATGTGGTGGTTATGTATTCTTGGCTGGTATACTCTATAGGTGATGTGTTCTGAGGGTGTCACATCTGGATTCATACAGCATGCATCTGTCCCTCATTAGTGATATTAATTTTGATCACCCAGTCAAGACATTAACCAACTTCTCCACTATATAATTACTTTTTTTCCCTTTTGCAACTAAGAAGCAGTCAGTGGGAGACACTCTTGAGACAATGAAAACATCCTATTACACATAAAAATTTCATTTTAGACATAGCATTTATTGATAATTCTTGCCTGATCCAGTACCATGATTGTTTCAAATGGTGATTTTCCAACTCTAGCACTCCTTATACATTCACCAGTCATCCTATGGCATTCACTAGCTCTCCTTTCTCCCCCTTTTATTTATTATCAGTATGGACTTATGAATTCCTTTTTTATGTGGTTTATAATTCATTACTGTATTTAATTATTTTGGTACTCAGACTGTCCTAGATTTGGCTAATGGGTGCTCCCTCCAACTGGCTTCTCTGTTCTTGTGCCATGCCCCATCATTACTTTTTTTTTCAAGTACTCCTTTTCTTTTTTTAAAAATATTTATTTATTTATTTTTGGCTGAGTTGGGTCTTTGTTGTTGCACGCGGGCTTTCTCTAGTTGCGGCGAGCGGGGGCTACTCTTTGTTGCAGTACACAGGCTTCTCATTGCAGTGGCTTCTCTTGTTGCAGAGCATGGTCTCTAGGCATGTGGGCCTCAGTAGTTGAGGCTCATGGGCTCTAGAGCGCAGGTTCAGTAGTTGTGGCACATGGGCTTAGCCGCTCCGCGGCATGTGGGATCCTCCCGGACCAGGGCTCGAACCCGTGTTCCGTGCATCGGCAGGCGGATTCCCAACCACTGTGCCACCAGGGAAGCCTCAGTACTTCCTTTCTGACATAGCAAGATGTTCCAAGTTCATCTTGTACATACCCTATCCCAGCCTTGGAGTCAGCCATTTCTCCAAAGAGCCCTGTTGAGTATTTTCTTAAACTGTATTTAATGACATATGATGAGCAAGGACCACAGGACTAGGGATGGGTAAAGCATCAGGAGAAAGAACAGGCTCTGTGCTCTTACGACCATCCCTACCACTTACGTACCTTGGGTAGTATTGATAAGAAGCACAGAAGTGGAGATTCCTTAAAAGAATATTAAGATTATAGTTATGTTCTAACACCTAGAAAAAAATAATTTGAGTAAATCACTTTACTTTTTGGGTAGAAGAGAACATCTCAGTTTTGTTTTGTTTTGTTTTGTTTTTTTCCTGCAGAGTGAGGTAGTCAGTAGAGAAGAGGAATTATGCTTACTCCTCAAGATTCCATTGTCTCTAATCTCTTCATCCTTCAACTCTGATTAATGTTAGATTTATCAGATACTCCTAAACATAGCTGTGTTCACTTGTGTGAAATCAGTATCACACTTTCCCATTTCCATTCTTCTTGATATCCCATGACTTTGAAGAGTTAGCTATTTGTCAAATATATTAATTTCCTTGCTTACTCTATAAATGTTTTATTAACCCTTTTTGACCACTTGAGTTTTTCAAGTATTTATTCATATATTTTGTTTATTGCTGCCTCATTATTTTTAACTGGCTATTTGTTTATGCTTTAAGGGTTACTATAATGAAAGATAAAGATACCAGGAAGAGTAAAGGGGTTGCATTTATTTTATTTTTGGATAAAGACTCCGCACAAAACTGTACCAGGGCAATAAACAACAAACAGGTAAGCCATTCATTCCCAACAAGGTTTTTAACCAAAAGCCTTTGTGCTTATCCAGGCTAAAAATGTGGGGATGAGGGGATAGTCAAGTCTGATGGATATCAGTAGGTCCTGAGAGTATTTAACGTACGGAAAAGAGGTCAAAACTGTACTGGGTTCCCAAAACACTGGTAGAATATAAGGAATAAAAGTCTATTCTACAGGAAAGAATTTGTCACACCTAAGTGGGCAATTGCTAAAACAATCTAAAAAATAAAATGGAATTGAAGGTTTGAGGAAATGGGATCCAATAACTGTAGTTTTAGGTTTCAGTGAAATACATCCTATTGCATTTGCATTTTTCTCTGTTCTAGTTATTCGGTAGAGTGATAAAAGCAAGCATTGCTATTGACAATGGAAGAGCAGCTGAGTTCATCCGAAGACGAAACTACTTTGATAAATCTAAGTGTTATGAATGTGGGGTGAGTAAACCTAAAACAGTATAATTTTCCATAGTTTACTTGAAGGTATTTTTCACATCAGTGTTTTATTTGTGTTCTCCAAGACTTCTGGATGGCTAAAATCGGGTTATGAAAGTTTAACTTTGGGACTCTAGACTCATGTAAGTAAACTCAATTGAAATGTCGTATGTAAAGTTAACCTGAGTTGGGTAGTATAGGGTGGTATTTTCTCCAGTTTCCAAACCTTTGAAAGTTGTTAGATTAAAAAGTTTAAGACTAATTACATTATTGTCTGAAAGATTTTAGTGACCCATAAATTTTTGTGTTTCTATAATATTTTGTCAATGATTAAGTATCACAAATCAGTAAAAACATTATGATATGACCCATCCTGTATGGGATATTGTTTTGAAAAGTTTTCCCCCCTGTTAGTACTGCTGATAGTTCAGGAGCTGAACTGTACCCAGATTTTCTTATCTAGTTCTCATCTGTTGTTATCCATTTAAACTTTGGGTGATTAGGAGAGATGTATAGCCACAACACAGCTTTGCCCAAGGCCCATAATTGTATCAAGAAAATTTCAGTCTGGGTCTGTTGCTGCCTATTTCTAAAATGTCTTTATATATACTAAAAAGCAGGATCCAGAGGTTAATGGGGAGCTTTCTACTGGAGAGAAGATTACTGAGAGACATTGTCCTGGCTACATGATCATATAGAAAATAGAAGGAAATGTGTTGGGGTCCTTTCCCCAGTGCCACTCACTCCCCCTCAAAAATATATACATATACAGACAGATGGGTGGGTGAACAGATAGATGGATGGATGAACGGGAAGAGAGAGCAAGCAAGGCACTGGGTACATTCTGTAAATTTTTATGATTCTGACACCTAAGTTAATGTTTGAAAACCTGTGTTCCAGAGTCCATCATAAAAAAGAAAAAGAAGAAAGGAAAGGAGGGTGGAATTGTTATGGTCAGATAGATAAGTATATATCCACATATTCACAGTAAATGTTAAATTATCTGAGAACTCCTGGATGAATCTGTTAATCTGTCTTTTTGGTTTATGGATCCATAGATTTGTCATATTATACTTAGTACATTATAATACTTCTTAAAACATCCCCCCACAAAAGTCTGTTTACGTTTATTTTAGCCTGATTTTTCCCAAAGCTATTTCACTATTAAACCCCTGCCCCCATTTTTTTTTTATATGGCATATGTTAACAGTTTTTGGTGTACCATTATTCCAAAAACAGTTTGAAAAATGGTTCTCTAAGTACATCCTCTCAGCAGTTCATTAACAATAACACCTCTTGGGTTCAGCCATGTCCCCAGGTATACAAAATACACAGTCTATTTGATGCTTTGTAAAATATACTTGAAAAGCATGATTATTTTTATCTTCTGTTGTTCTAATCCTGGCTCAGCCTCTCCACACACCCTCATTCTCACATATTACTTCTAAAGGTATTTTGGTAAGCTAATACACAGATTCATTGTCTCATTTTACAACTCAAACCATGTTATGGCTCATTATAATGTTATGGCTAGTCCAGCACTGTCAAATACAAACATATGCAAGCCACAGATTTAATTATAAATGTTCTAATAGCCACATTAAAAAAAGTAAACAGGGTAAAAACTTAATATATTTTAATTCAAAATATTTTCATTTGAATTATGTAATTAAAATTTTTTAAATTATAATATTTTACATTCTTTTTTCATACTGCCTTCACAATCCAGTATGTATCAATTCAGACAGGTTCTCAGTAACCACAAGAGAATTATAGCTAGTGGCTACCATAAGTGAACAGTGCAGGTGTAGTCTAGATATGAAAGAAGCAAAATGAAATTAATTGATAGGAAAAGTGAGGAAGACTTTAAATTTTCCATTTGTTTTTAAAAGAAAATGTTCAGCAACATCTTGGAAGTTAGGAATAGTTTTGTCCCCATTTTATCATAATAACTTAAAATTTTTACAACTAAGGTAGATGGTCCATTTAAATTTTGAATTATTTTATATCCTGAATCTTCAGATTTAAAATGTTTGAAGGAAGAAAACTTTTACTCTTAGTGAAACGACTAAAATACTTCCTTATTGGGAGTTATAATATCATAATCTCTTCCTTCTGTATTAAAGTAACGGGTTTTAATTTCTTTGTATATATTCCCTGTGTGACAATATTCTTTTTTTTAATTAATTAATTAATTTATTTATTTATTTTTGGCTGTGTTGGGTCTTTATTGCTGTGCGCAGGCTTTCTCTAGTTGCGGCGAGCAGGGGCTACTCTTCGTTGTGGTGCGCGGGCTTCTCATTGCAGTGGCTTCTTGTTGTGGAGCATGGGCTCTAGGCACACGGGCTTCAGTAGTTGTGGCTCGCAGGCTCAGTAGTTGTGGCTTGCGGGCTCAGTAGTTGTGGCGCACGGGCTTAGTTGCTCTGCAGCATGTGGGATCTTCCCGGACCAGGGCTCAAACCCGTGTCCCCTGCACTGGCAGGTGGATTCTTAACCACTGTGCCACCAGGGAGGCCCCTGTGTGACAATATTCTTTCTTAAGTTCTAAAGCATTTTAGTCTTAAGGAACCACCAAGTTTCTGTTAATAACACAACAAATGTAATATTTCTCCTTTCCTTTTTAATGGGAAACAAAAGGAAAGTGGACACTTAAGTTATGCCTGTCCTAAAAATATGCTTGGAGAACGTGAACCTCCAAAGAAGAAAGAGAAAAAGAAAAAAAAGAAAATTCCTGAACCAGAAGAAGAAATGTATGTATAGCCACTCTTAGCAAATGCATTATTGTGTAGCTTCTGTCTTTTTCCTAAGTGCATTCTGATTTTTTTTTTTAATAATTTAGTGAAGAAGTAGAAGAAAGTGATGATGAAGGGGAGGATCCTGCTCTTGACAGCCTCAGTCAGGCCATAGCTTTCCAGGTACTAGTTCTTTTCTAAGGCACCATGCCATAGCTGCCTTGAGTTAATAGTTCTATATTCCTTGCTTACTTTATTAATCATCTCCTGATGGCAACCTCTGTCTTCCCCTTTGCCCCTAAACTTTAGGAGATAGGCTCTTTCTTTAAGGTCTTTAGAACAGTGTGGTGGAAAAGTGCCTATTGGTTCTTTCTAGATTTTGAGGGCCCCACAACACTTTTACTGTCTTAATCGGTTTTCATTATAGAATTGAACAGAACTATTTGATTCAAGTGAATTTAGCCCAATGGAAAAGATTTTACTAAATCGAAGATACTGTTTTAAAAGAAGCTTCACTTTAAAACAAAACCAAAAACATATTTTTGACCATTAAAGATCCTAATACAAGTATACGAAACATTTTTTGAAGAAGGGTGTATAACTTCCTGATTTTATATAACCACTTATTTTGTTTTAATGTAGTTGATAAAATTGTAAATGCATACATCAATTTATTTTTTCCTTTTAGTTAACTAATATATTTTATGTAACATTCCCACATCCAACAGGGATGACAAGTAGGCTTCATTTCATATGCCTGTTAATTAGTAGAACTTGTCTAAAATAATTTTTATTAACATGGTAATAAGACTGGGACAAAACTTGGGGGTAGGGGAAATGGCATCTTAATGGAGTAGAACTGTCTGCACGGGCTAGGAGGGCAGAGAGTGCTGGCACTTGTGATTTTGAATCAATGGACTATAAATAATATTAAACAGATTCCTGATTTTGTTTTGTTTGTTTTCCGAACCACATTACAGCAAGCGAAAATTGAAGAAGAACAAAAAAAATGGAAACCCAGTTCAGGGGGTCCCTCAACATCAGATGATTCAAGACGCCCAAGGATAAAGAAAAGCACATATTTCAGTGATGAGGAGGAGCTTAGTGATTAAAATTATATATATTATGTCAATATCATTAAAATATTTTTTAAATCTTGAAGTATCAAGTTCCATTGGGACTAAAGATTACTTTTAGAATTTGAACATAAGAACACTTAGTACCAAATAGTTTTTTACTTTAAAATAATTCATAGGAAATTGAAAAGTAATTTTAAAGTATGTTTATCTTGCATCAAGATTTGCTAATAATCATTAATCTTGAGAACAGTTCATTTGAATAAAAAAGAAAACTTAGTACTATCATAATAATGCTATTGTCATCCCGAGAAAAAAGGTAGATAAGTAAAAAGATTTGTTTGAGAAGTTCATTATAAAAGTTTATTCATGATTGGCTTATTTGAGGACTTTTGAAATAAATTTCATCTTTAAAACAAAAACCTCTTAAAGACTGAAAAGGTTGAATGATTTATTGTGATTAATGTTAATAAAATTTTCTCAAGAGAATTTTATTTTTAAATGTAGGTGTTTTTGTCATCTTATTTCTTTTACCTTTATCCCAATCTGGATACATTGTAATTACCTATAAAATTTAAAGTAAAGTAGCTCTCAAAGGTTTGTAACCAAAGAGCAGTAATTTGTCCTTTGGCACAAAGTTCCATTCCCCAAAAACAGCCAGCTTCTATATTTGTGCCTTTTCACATGTACATACATCTTGCTAAATAAAATACATATATTTCTGCCACTTCATCCATAAAAGGATGAAGGAAGACTTCAATCTCCTATACTCCCCTCTGCCCTCCTCCACCTTCCCAACATGGCTATGTTAAAATTTTTGGTTAAATCCATATTTTATTGTTTTTATTTTAGGACCACTGAAATACTGTTCACTTCAGAGCTAATGAGTGTGCTATGATTACATTTTTCCTAGAGTTAATAATTGCCTTGTTTTTTTCATGTATTATATTTCTTTGTATTTATGACTGAAGCTTCCCATACCTTTTGCAGATGGATATATGGGAATGGGATTATGAAGCCTTTAATTTTCTACTTTCTCTCTTTCTGTACTATTGAATGCTTTTTAAAAGAACATCTATTTATTAGTTTCTTAATTACTAAAAGCAATAAAAATATTTCCACTTTGAAAACTATAAAGGCAATGAAAGTGTTAACCCCTTACCAGCAAAATATCTTCTAGATCTCAGTGAGGAAACCAGACAAAAAGATTGAATGCTGGACTCTATTTTCTGTTTCACCCATTAATTCATCAAATTTAAAGCAAAGAAAAAACTTGGGGAAAAACATGCCACAAAATACAGAAAAGTTTATATGAATACCTTAAAACAGAACAGAGAATGAGCTAGTGACATAAACAATATATAGAAAATTTTAAATAGTAAATGAAAATATTTTTATCAAAGATTCTATTCAACTAGTAGGACATTAGTTTTTTTTTACCTAATTAAAAAAAATTAGTGGTGATGAAGATGTCATAAGAATACTTGTATTATATACTGGCTAATTTCTGAAGGGTAATTTAACAAGTATCAACTATTAAGTATGTTCTATTGTTTGAACTAGAAACAACATTCTCTTTTATCCTAGGGTTCTAGTCAGAAATACAAATATTTATGTACAAAGGTATATGTTGTTATTTAAAATTCAGAACACAAATAGTTAAATATCAACAAAAGATAAAGCATGATACATACAAAATGATTATTAGAAAGCATTAAAATGTTTCAGAAAATTCCTAATGGGATGGAAAAACATTCTGGATTTAATGGCAAGTGCAAAATACCTGCTGTGTATGGATACATACATGCATATGGATGGGAAAAGTCAACAACTAAGGTAGTAATGGCATAGCAGCTAAGACTGTAGTCTCCTGACAGACATACCTAGGTTTCTGTGGCCACGTTTCCACTTAGAGTTGATGGCCTGGGGCCATTTACTTATCCTGAGTTCTTTGAAAAATAAAAAGGTACAAACAACACCAAAGGACAAATATTGTATAATTCTACTTATACGAGGTACCTACATTAGGTAAATTGGTAGAGACAGAGTAGAATCGAGGTTACCAGGTACTGGGAGGAAGGGGGAAGGGAGTGTTATTGTTTAATGGGTACAGAATTTTTGTTGGGGATGATGAAAATGTTTTAGGTGTAGACAGTGGTGGTGGTTACACAGCATTGTGAATGTACTTAATGCCACTGAATTGTATACTTAAAAACGGTTAAAATGGTAATTTTTTTTTTTTCCTGCGGTATGCGGGCCTCTCACTGTTGTGGCCTCTCCCTTGCGGAGCACAGGCTCCGGACTTGCAGGCTCAGCAGCCATGGCTCATGGGCCCAGCCGCTCCGCAGCATATGGGATCTTCCCGGACCGGGGCACGAACCCGTGTCCCCTGCATCGGCAGGCGGACTCTCAACCACTGTGCCACCAGGGAAGCCCTAAAATGGTAAATTTTATGTATATTTTACCACACAAACAAATATACAAACATAGCTGGTTAAAATTTTTGTGTAAAGAGCAGTTAAGCCACCAGGACCCTCCCTGCCACCTGCCAGTCATGCTGAACCATGATACCTGCAGTCTCCTTCCCCTGCCAATGTCCAAAACACTCTCAGATAAGTTCATTTCACCTCGAGCAGGGGATTGGGGTGGGGAGGGGGAGTCATTCCTTCCCAGGAGAAACGACATAGACACTGGAAATTTGGGCCCTAAAAAAGAGGTCAGTTCAACAATAAAGTCCCTCAAGTTGATATACCCAAGGTAGTGGTGGTGGTATATGCTTCTGATCAGCTTTTAAGTGCTCCACGTTCAAATAATGAACAGACATATCAGCATCAACAAGTGTTCGAGGAAGTCCTCAAACAGCAGAAATCCAAATGATGAGAACAAAGAAAGGAGCTTAGAGGAGCTGAGGAATTCTGGCTTTAAAAATCTGACTCCCTGGGTTTCCGGGAAAAGGACTGTGGACCTGTAATAAACTGGATGATTTCTAACGTAAAAGCAGCTGTCAATCAGAGAATGCCCATCCTACCAGATATAAGATATGTTTTCTTTCCCTCTGCAATCATTTATTTACTCATTTGTTATTTTGGGGTTTTTTTGACTAGGTGCCTATTCTGGAACTGCTGGTTATAATTTTCAGATTATCACAGAAAACAGATGACCACATATAATAGGACCTATTTATATTATAAGTATTAACTGTTAATTCATTTCTTTGTTTTATATTCCATAAGTGTGTGTAATTTGTGATACACAACAGTGATCACGAAATATTTAGGCATTAATACGTGTAAATAGTAAAAGAGAAGTAATTGAAAGCTTTACATAGAATATACCAGAGCTAGATCAGTAATTTAGGCACAATTGTTAATAGAGGAGTGAAGTATGATTTTAAAAGGGGAAGTAAAGGATCACTGGATCACATAACTGAGACACTTAGCTTCAGAAATGGATGAAGGGGTTAAAAATCTAATTAGAAATCTCTTTTTCTTTGTCTCTTAACCACTCCTTTCCTCTGTACTACCTTTGTTTTCCACAAACTTTATGAGATAGCAGGGATGACCACCAGTATCTCTAAAGCTAGGAATCCTAAGAATGAGAACTCGTCTCCCCCAACGGTTCCAGCAAAAGTCCCAAGAAAAGCCCTAATGTGCCAGTCCTGTGTCCCAGTCCCCATTCTGGAAGATGAGTAAGTCAGTCCGACCCAACTCACATGGATATTCCCATGCAATGTAGTATTTATTTTCAGTTTGGAATCAACATGGAAGTTCCTTATCTTGTCAAGCCTGTTAGGCTCTCCCTTCATCATTGTCAAAGGCAAAATACTGAGGCAGCTGAGCGGGATGCACAGAGAAAACAGAGATGCAGCACCAAACAAAAAGAAGCTATTTCCCGGGCTTCCCTGGTGGCGCAGTGGTTGAGAATCTGCCTGCTAATGCAGGGAACACGGGTTCGAGCTCTGGTCTAGGAAGATCCCACATGCTGCAGAACAAGTGAGCCCGTGCGCCACAACTACTGAGCCTGCGCGTATGGAGCCTGTGCTCCACAACACGAGAGGCCGCGATAGTGAGACGCCCGCACACAGCGATGAAGAGTGGCCCCCGCTTGCCACAACTAGAGAAAGCCCTCGCACAGAAACGAAGACCCAACACTGCAAAAATAAATAAATTAATTAATAAACTCCTACCCCAACATCTAAAAAAAAAAAAAATTATAAAAAAAAAAACAAATAAGCTATTTCCCATAGTCAGCAATGTTCACAGGTAACTTGCAAAACACGGAAGGAGGGTAAAGGCTCTTTGGAAAGCAGTTTGATAAGCACTGTTACTTAAAGTAACAACGTAAGCAACTGCAGTCAGAGAGCAAACCCAAGACAACAGGATGGGTTTAGCCATTGTCAATTATTTAAAAAATTGCTTTCATAAAATCCAAATTTTCATAATCCTTAGGTACTGTTACAGATGGAACCAATTAATAATTTTAGTTAAGCTCTGGTACCTAGAATAAGCAGACCAGAAATACAACACCTTTTATAGAATGTGGTCTTTTAAGCAGATTCCTTTCTGGGATGGTTGCATTTTTTATCACTACGTCTTTCCAAATACATGGCTTTTTTTTTTTTTCCCCCTCTGATTGTATTTTTCTTTTCCATTATGGTTTATTACAGGATGTTGACTATAGTTCCCTGTGCTATACAATAGGACCTTGTTGTTTATCCATTCTATATATAATAGTTTGTTTGCATGTGCTAGTCCCAAACTACCAATCCAACCCTCTCCCACCCGCCTCCCCCTTGGCAATCACAAGTCTGTTCTCTATGTCTGTGAGTCTGTTTCTGTTTCATAGATAAGTTCATTTGTGTCATATTTTAGATTCCACATGTAAGTGATATCTTTCTCTTTCTGACTTACTTCACTTAGTATAATAATCTCTAGGTCTATCCATCCATGTTGCTGTAAATGGCATTACTTCATTCTTTCTTATGGCTGAGTAACATTCCATTGTATATATGTACCACATCTTTATCCATTCGTCTGTCAATGGACATTTAGGTTGTTTCCACATCTTGGCTATTGTAAATATTGCTGCTATGAACATTGGGGTGCATGTATCTTTTTGAATTATAGTTTTGTCTGGATATATGCCCAACAGTGGATTTGCAGGATCATATGGCAACTCTACTTTTAGTTTTTTCAGGAACCTCCATACTGTTCTCCATAGTGGCTGCACCAATTTACATTCCCACCAACAGTGCAGGACGGTTC